GCCTCGGGGGTGAGTAAAATGCAGCGTAATTTGCATTTTTGGGTGAACTAACCCTTTAACTAAACTTGCTGCTATGGCAAGGGGCGGGGCAGTACTGAAACACCGTCTAAGCTGTTCGCCAATTACAATGCACTGGGATAGCTAACCAATCACATCACATTTCGTTTTTCGGACGGCGGGCGTTCAACAAACCCGGAACTAATCGAGCCGTTTGTGCCAGGCCGGGGAGAAAGGTATTGTAATAATGTAAATTATGTAAAAAATAATGCGTTTTTCGAACCACTAAGCATGAGAGTATGTTCTAGTACACCGCCAAAACAAATTCAAGACATTGTAAAAGAGCATAATAGGACCCCTTTAATATAGTTACTCCTTTGTAACTATGGTTAAATATGGTTAAAGTTTACTGCTGAATGAACTGACAAGCAAAATATAGTAAAATAAACATATATATTTATGCGTGTGTGTTTATATATACATATTTTAACTTTTCTTGTAAACAGTATAAAAGTTTTTAGAAACCATACAAAACCAGCATGAATACAAAGAGTTAATTTCTAAGAACTTAGAATCTTTTAAAAATCATTCAAATTTGCCTTTTCTTTGTTGTGGACACTCTTATTTGTCACTGACCTATCAATATCATGAAATCCATACATTTTTAAAGTGTGGTGCAAGTGTCCAAATACTTTTTGAGGCCACTATATTTTAGGACTGTTCAGACGTGTGTTCAGTAGAAATGGTGATGCTGCGGCAGTCACTGCAGGCCTGTCTGTTTGTGTCACCACGGGCACTGCCTGTGAGAACAAATGCTGTGGGCACAGCAAATGAGCTAGAAAGCAGTCATTGAGTGGACATGAATATTTAACTGAGACGATATCAGTCTGGCAGAGTATCAGCCGATTATAATGGCTCAGTGCTTTCTTTCTGCTGTGTCCGTATCAAACAAACACAAAGCTCTGCCAAACTCTCTGCTGACAGCCACAGCTAACCTGAGCGGCACACTATCCTAGTTAGTCACGAGTCTCTCCTGTTGAGACTCATTCAATGGATACCTTTGGTAAATTTGAGAAGATGTTGAGAATTGGTTGGATGACATTTTGTGTCCTGTGGATAACTCAAGCTCTCAAATTTCATTTACAATCAAATATTCACACAGCGTCTTCAAATATGCGCACACTATGACAATGATGATTGGTTCTGGCTTATATGTTGTTACATGATCAGTTGTGTTGAGGCATGATTGAATATGCGGAGGTGCCAATGAGATTTGATGAAGGAAATGTTTTTAGTGACTAATGTCTAAAAAGGACATTTCAGAGTTCTGTTGTCATTTACTCATGTCATTCCAAATCCATAACTTACATTTACATAGTACATACTACCACATTTTGCTATAAGTTTGATTGCATCAAATAATAATTGCTGTTAATAGTGTTCATCGTCTGTTTGATTACGTCTTTAAATTGATTTTTCCGTACATTTCTGCCATATGTACATTGACTGACAGTCACCACTGATAAGCTACCACTAAATATTGTAGAAACTTAATTTGCTGTAAAGTTGCTTTGCAATGATTTGTATCGTGAAAAGCGCTGTACAAATAAACTTGAATTGAATTGAATTGAACATAGACTCACATTTATCTTTTGAACAAAAAATTCCATCCCATTTCATGCTTCAAAAAGTTCAGAAAACATACATAGAGCTCATCAAACATGGTAAACGGAAGCTCAGCCATATTTACTAGTCGTTTCAGATCAACCCTCATTGGTTCTTGTGCATCCAGCATGTTTGATCTTACGTTTGCCCTGTTTGGTGTGTTTTATATATGTCCGTCGATTAATGCTTATGTAGTATAGATGAATAAATAAATAATATATGTTTATGTATATGTGATTAAAAGTCTAAATTAAATCTGTTTTGGTTGTAAACTGCTCAATTTAAAGGGATTAATTTATTTCTTTGTGAAATTTGTGTCTTTGAAATGTGAAGATTTTGGTGGAATAGACTTTTTATGGAGAGATAGAAATCTGTTGGGTTTCATTAAAAATTTCTTAATTTGTGTTTTGGAGATGAATGAATGTCTTACGGGTTTGGAATGACATTTGGGTAAGTAAATAATGACTGATGAATGATGAGTTTTCATTTTTGGGTGAACTTTCCCTTTAAATTTTGGTCTTTTTCTCATAGAAAGCTATCATATGTCCTCAGAAGATGTTAAATCTAGTGAACTACCAGGGTGCTAAAAATGCTAAGATTGGGGGTTTGATTCTACCAAAATGTGTAATTGTGAAATGAGTTGTATGGACTATTTCATGGTACCTTATGGTGCTTTATGTTCTTGTTGGAGCTTCAAAGTCTCTGGTTGCTGAGTGTTTTCATTTTATGGAAAATTCTCTTAAATTGGACACTGGTCTGATAGCTAGAGTTAAGAAAAACAGTCTTTTTCCAAAGGCTTATTTATTGTCAAAATGCAGCTCATAAAAATTCACCCATCAGACCCCACCCGGCAGTCAGAATGGACGGGGCTGGGGGCGGTTATGGTGATTCATTTCCCATGCTGCTTAGCTGCTATGGCAGATGAGAGGAGTCAGACAAGGGGTTTTATGGAGCCAAATAAACAGGCAGCTGTGTACCACATTAGAGCTGTGATTGGTGACAGTACACGTGTGTGGTACTTGGTGCAGTTCTCCAGACTTGGGTGGGGTCTTTCCTCCCAGTGTAATTAAACCCACAGGACCAGCGTCCAGACACTCTATCTCCACATGCGCACAGCTAACTGTTTGTCTAATGTATGTCGTTTATCATGAGCAACCCCCACACATCATAGCACACACATGCACATCCATCATACGCACAGTTAATATACCCCACCACACACACTAATTGGGTTAGATTGTCCCGTTTCTCACCCTTTCCCCTTAATGAGAGACTTCAAAAAGCCCCGCATCAATATTTCACGCCCCTCCGCTGCATGTTTGAATATTTCCTTTTGATTTAGTATCTTGACATGTTTTGTTTTCTCCTATAAGAGAAGAATCTGTACATTATGGATTAAATCTTCATACAGACTTCCTCGCAGAACGGCGCTCAGTAGGGCACATCCTTGGCATCACAGCAGGGTTTCCTACAATATTTTGTATTTCTAGTGGGGGGCAACCCCCTCAAACCCGAAAAACATCTTACTAAACATTAACAATTCTTTTTTCTCCAACATATAATTGCTTTTGATTAAAATACCATTGTAACAAAACTCTGAAACTCCATTCTGCTACACTATTAACTTGGTATACTTGGTATAAACTGATTTAAGTTTCAATAACTTTACTTACTTAAATGTACCTATTTTGAACACTGCTCTTTGTAACTGTTCTCTGCTTGTGTTGAGTCAGACATTTATAATAATGTGTCATTTAGTGAGCGAGCAAGTCATCCGAGCCGATTCAGTGAGATGTCAGATTGATTCAGTCCATGATTCAGACAGATGATTAAAACTGTATATACTATATATATATATATATAGTAGGCAGTTTGCTTGTTAACACTCACGAAAAACAAGTGTGGTAATGAGCATTCTCATTTCATTAACACATTCTGTATTTACTGAAACTGAATCAAAATGCACTGCTGGAACTCAATACAAATAAGCAATAATTAAATAATAAAACAACTTGCTCTGCACTTTATGGGCTTCACATTAACCGGATTAAGATTTCTATAAATGGGAGCTGGCATCCAAAGAGTACAACTGATTTAAATTTTTTATACACTGCTGTTCATTTTTTATTGAGTGAAGTAACACTTTTATTCAGAAGGATGCATTAAAGTAATCAAAAGTGACAGTAAAAACTTTTATAACGTTACTAAAGATTTATATTTCTAATTAAATTGTTCTTTTTGACCTTTCTATTCATCAAAGAATCTTGAAAAAATGTATTACCGTTTCCACAAAGATATGAAGCTGTTTTTAACATTGATAATAACAAGAGATGTTTATTGAGCACCAATTCAGCTAATTAGCATGATTTCTGAAGGATCATGTGACACTGAAGACAAGAGTAATGATGCTGAAAATTCAGCTTTGCATCACAGGAATAAAATACTTTTTAAAATATATTAAAACAGAAGTCAGTTATTGTTTTGTTTTGTAGAAAGCTGTTTTATAAATAAACTGCATTTAAAGAGTTTCCCACTGACTCACAAACAGACAAACTGGAACAATCAGTCAGGTCGAAAGGAAACCGTTTGAATGCGAAGTGCTTAAAATAACAGCTTATAAAAACCCGACAAATAATGGCATATCAACACCTTAACTTTCCTAATATATGTATAATTTTGCTGTGGCACTGCAGATTCAGCAGAGGTGCAGGAAACACTGCATCACAGGAAATCACTGCTGGATCTCGTTTAGCTACAGTGTCCATCCCTCTTCCTGCCTACTCTATTTTCTCTCCCCCATCATTCTCTGTTCTTGCCGGCCCTTTCGGCTCACTTGTTTCTGTCACTCGTGGTCCATCTCATTTTGCCCCTCTTGCTATCTCTCCATCCCCCTCAATCACTCTCTCTGGTAGGATTAGCGTAGATAATTTGAGCCGGCCAGTGTTCACCGAGTTGTGAATGTGCTAAATGTGCATTTCCATGATAAAGGCCGTGACTCCGAGCTGCTCGTCTGTCACAGAAGTATGGCATTACTATTGTCCCCAGGGCTGAGCTGCATCATTTTGTGTTTGCTTTTGAAGTGTTCAAATTCATTTTCAGCGCTCGGTACAGTACGCCGCTCCATTGTGCTGACAGAACGTTACAGTAGATTGTAAAAGCCACGTTTCTCTGCTGAATGGGGACCCCCAGGGCTCTGTAATGATGTATGCTAGCACTTTAGACATCAAAGCTAGCGTTTATGCAATCTTTAGTGAGCGCTAGCATGCGTGAGCGTGTGCAGTGCTGCTTTTGTGTAATATAAGTCTGTGTGCCGATGCGGTGTGTGTGTGTTTTTACAGGTCGACGAGCTGTACGAGGGCTTTTGTATTCAGAGAAGGTTGCGTGATGGTGCCAGTAAGATGAAACAGGCCTTCACTGCTTCACCCTCCACTAAAGGCACACGTGAGAGCCTGGCGGAGGTCAACCGCAGATACAAAGAGTATACAGAGGTACATTATTAATGTTTGCTTGTCTGACCAGTTGGCCATTTTTGTTATCGCTTTGTTCACGCTGCAGCAGAGTACATATTTTGAATCAACTAGAGTGTGGATTGTCTGATTGACAAATTGGTCTGTGTAATTAGGCTGGTTTCGGGTTCATCTGTATCTGAGAGGGCATTTACATAAGACATACAGGTCTCAAGACGAGCTTTTAAATGTTTAACTATTTTTGACACAGCATATTAGTAATGCCAGATATGATGCAACAGTCAAAAATTTCTGAGTATGTATGAGACGTGTATATATCTATTGATGGTTCTTTTTTTTTAAAGAATTTCATACTTTTATTCAGGAAGTATGCATTCAATTGATCAAAAGTGACAGTAACGACATGTATAGTGTTACAAAATAATTCTATTTCAAATAAATGCTGTTCTTTTAGAACTTTTTATTCATCAAAGAATCTTGGAAAAAATGTCACTTTCCACAAAAATATAAAAGAGCACAACTCTTTTCGGCATTAATAATGAGAAGAAATGAAATTCAGCATTGTCATCATAGAAATATATATATATTTTTAAAATATGTTAATTAGTGCTGTCAAAGGATTAATCGCACCCAAAATAAAATTTTTTTTTACATTATATATGTATGCGTACTGTGTATATTTATTATGCATATATAAATACACACACAGTAAATATTTTGAAAATATTTACATGTATATATTTATATTCTTATATTTTATATTATATATAAATATATTTAACATATAAACATAACATATTTTTCATAAATATATACATGCATGTGTTTGTATTTATATATACATAATAAATATACACAGTAAACATACATATATATACTGTAAACGAAAACTTTTATTTTGGATGTGATTAATTGCGATTAATCGTTTGACAGCATTAATGTTAATTAAATTAAATTGTAATATCATTTCACAATTTTATTATTTTTACTTGATCAACTAAATTCAGCCTTGGTAAGCATTAAAGACTTCTTTCAAAAACAAACTGTAAATGGTAAAAACAGGTCAAAACTAAAATATGAGGAACAAAATCACAATTTGTTTCAAACTTTTGCTACAGTTATGTATAATTCTAATTATATTAAATATAACATATGCAAACAAACTGCCTACAATAATTACATTATATAATAATAAATATATAATATATATATACTTTTTGATTTATTTAATAACAATAATGCAGATTACTGTTTAGTAAGAATAGTTTGGTCACACTTTATTTTATGGTCCAGTTCTCGCTTTTAATAATCTATGACTTTTGCCTCAATAATTTGCTAGTTGTTAAGTTTAGGTATTGGGTAGGATTAGGGATGTAGAATATGGTCATGCAGAATATGTGCTTTATAAGTACTAATAAACAGGCAATATGTTATTAATAAGCATGCTAATAAGCAAATCGTTAATAGTGAGAACTGGTCCCTATACCATTAGTTGGGGTAAGAAATGTTATGGCCAATTAAATCTCTCATTTCACCTGTCATTCATATTACCATATGTTCCCGTCTCCTCAGAACATGAGCACTTTTGAGGCCGAGCTGGAGAACCTGTTGGGGGAGTTTCATATCAAAATGAAAGGTACAGGATTTTTGCACAAAAATGTGAAAAAATCTATAAAGTATGTGTTGTATATCAATAACAAACTTTTCAACTCCTTTGCTCTCTGTCTCAGGATTGGCTGGTTTTGCCAGGCTTTGTCCCGGCGATCAGTATGAGGTAAGCTGTTTGTACGTAAACTCTTTCAGAACGTACTGAGATTCATGCATTCTTTTTTTCTGTAATAAAGCCAGATGCGTCTGTCTTCTATCAAATTACTAAACGCTTGTAGTAATTGCCTGCTGTTCTGCCAAGTACATCCAAGTATTTCGTAATCACAGCTCTCCTAGCAACGTTTTCTCTTCTGATCCACAAGTACATACAACCCACCAAACCCAATTAGATTTTGCAAGGCTGTATAAAACTAAACACTGAAAACTCCCATTGCTTTACTGCTCTATTAACAATTATGTGAACTTGTGTTGGCAGCGTTTTCCTAATTCTGACATTTTTTGTTCTTTCTTTTTCTGGCAGATTTTCATGCGATACGGCCGACAGCGGTGGAAACTGAAGGGGAAGATCGAAACGAACTCCAAGCAGAGTTGGGATGGAGAGGAGATGATCTTCATGCCCCTCATTACAGACCTCATCAACATCAAGGTGGGCTCCAGTCCACACAGTCGTCCATTAATTAATGTGACTAATTCGGACAGTGACATACTGGGTTGTAACCACCAAAGACATTCAAAAAGCCACGTCCCCTCAATATTAATCAACATTGATTCCTCAAATGTTACATCTCTTACCCTCAATCTTGAATATTTGGTTAGACCCTCGATGAATGCACGAAAAAACATACTCCTATAAATTTGCATTTATCTGCTATTTGCTATGCATTTATCTTGAATGAAACATTTCTGAATTGACAATTCTCAATTCATTATCTTTATTCTACTAGGTGACAGAGTTAAAGGGGTTGGCCACTCACATCTTGGTGGGTAGTGTGATCTGTGAAACCAAGGACTTGTTCACCGCTATGCCTCAGGTGGTAGCAGTAGATGTCAACGACCTGGGAACCATTAAACTTAACCTGGAGGTCGCCTGGTTGTAAGTGAAGTTATCTAATAAAACAAGATAAGAAGTGTGGCGTTTCAGCCACAGTAAATGAAAGTCATGATATACACTGCCCTCCTCAGGACAGTCATGGAAGTTACTTCTGCCTAACAGTTAATACATATGTTTTTTTTTAATTTCAATAATTTTAGTGTTTTCTTTCATTAAATACTTAAGTATGATATTAGATTGCTGTACATGAATGCATGTCTGTCTTGTTTTTACAGTCCATTTGATGTAGAGGATCTGACACTGTCCTCAGGAAACGTGAGTAAAGCCATCGCCCTTCAGAGACGAGTTTCAGTGTACAGCCAAGGCACACCCGAGACGCCCACTTTCCAGGACACGTCTTTCTTTGTGAGTGCAATTCTGAAAAGTCCTCTCAGTTCTGTTTAAAAGTCCTGCTTCTATCACCATGCTAAACACATAAGCTTGATTTGCAGCTGCATCATTACACACATAAATCCTGCCCTTGTGAAAAAGAAGTACACATAAGCATTCTTTTAAAATGAGTACAGAAATAAAAGAATATAATTAAGTGTGCATTAAATGTTTTAAGACACTTGCCTGTTGTTTAAATGAAATGAAAATGTATTAATAGTTTAAATTTATATTAAATGCAACTTTATATGAAATTTCATAATTACCTATATTGTCTTTGAACATATCATCTCTTCTGTGTATTTAAATATATTTGTAATTACACATTTCTAATGATAAATTTGCTATTTAGAACATTTCAAATATGTGACCCTGGACCACAAAACCTGTCATAAGGGTCATTTTTTTAAAATTGAGATTTAAATATCATCTGAATGCTGAATAAATAAGCTTTCCATCCATGTATAGTTTGTTAGGATAGGACAATATTTGACCGGGATACAACTATTTGAACATCTGGAATCTAGAATCTATGTGCATACAGTATGATACAGGATATTGAGGTTTTCAGATCAGGTGTTAGATCACACTGTCACATTTCCCTCCTTAAAAGCTGAGTACTAAACTAAATATAACACTACTGAGTCTGGCTAGCTGTTCTGGGTTCAGTGTTTATTATTTTGTGTGTATTATTGAATATGAAAGCGCTTGCATCTTGTGTGTGAATGTTCATGTTTAGTCTGTGCTGCTGTGTCTAATGAATTGTATTCACCCTGTGGCACCATGTGCATCATGGTTGTTGTGTGTACATGTGTGTGTGTGTGTGTGTGTTTGTGTCAATGGCAAAGAAGTGGCATCCTCGGCGGTTGGAGGGTCAGCGTCTCTCATTCTTGCACACGCTCCGAGAGACGCTCTTAGAGAAACTCAGACGCAGTCGCTCTTTTGGCGATCTGGCTGCGCTGAGACCTCGCTCAAGGTCCAGTCTGGAGGTCTACGTGAGTCAGGTCACTATGTGTCCTGCCCTTTTGAGTGAACATCTGCGTGTGGCTCTTTTCTTTGCTTGCGTTTTCTGCTTTTTTCACGCACAAACACACACGTTTCTTCTCACTCACATTCACACATACACTTTTCCAAACTATAATATTAGATGTTTAAAGACCCTATGAAATAAAATTTGTGGCTTTTAGTTCATGTTAGCTTTTGTGCGGATAATTCCACTGTGGCGACTCCTAACGGGAGAGTTCATGTTAGCTTTGAGTCCTTTTGTGTGCAAATAACAACAAAAATATTTTTTGCAGACATTTTTCTTTCAGGAAGATGGACTTAAAATATCGACTAATCCTATCCACAAGAGCATATAGAAATTTTTGTTCAGTTACAGTAAATGAAAATCTGACCAAGTACCCCCTACCTAATGAAATAGACCATCTTAAAGTTACATGTTTAAGCCACTCACATGTAAACTTTGACAAATCACAAGTGCACAAATTATCAGCCTAGATTATTTTAAGCAAAGGTTGTTGTCGTTTTCACAATTGCTTTCCAGTTTTATGTGTAGTATGTATCTCATGGTCAATGAACAGACTGTGAGATGTCCCACCCCAACTTCCTGGAAAGAACATTTGGATATGTTAAACCAGGGTTTCCCAAAAAAAGGAACTGCTGGGGGTTCCTGAGTTGATGAAAAGCTATTTACTCCATCATTACTCCAGTCTTCAGTGTCACATGATCCTTCAGAAATCATTCTAATATACTGATTTGCTGCTTAAGAAACATCAATGTTAAAACAGTAGTTCTGGTTTTTATCAGGGTTCTCTGATGAATAGAACGTTTAAAAGAACTGCATTTGTAATGTCTTTACTGTCACATTTGATCAATTTAATGCATCCTTTCTACGAATTTCATTATAGAAAAAAATTACCCAAACATCTGAATAGTGGTGTATTTAACAGAGAAATGAGAACATGCAAATGTGTTGTTAAAATATAGAAATATTAACTTAGAAGTTACATCAGGTCAGTGTTTTAGGTCAAACAGTTTTGGCTGACAAAACATTTGGGAATCCCTGTGTTAAAAACCATTTCATGGAACTCTTTAATTGTTCTGCTGCTCTTTAGTGTGCTTGACTTTTGGACAGAAAATATTGTTTGCATCTTTAGATCACTAAAACTACTATAGATAATAGTGCTGATAGGAATAAATTACATCAGGGAGCCATATTTACCGCATTTTCTTCCTCTTTCCATCAAACAGTCCACTTTACCAGATGATGTCTTTGAGAATGGAGGCTGCGGTGTGGCCGAATGCAAGCGCCTGTCCTTCACCTTCTCTGACACGCCCACCTCAAGCCCCGCCCCCATCCAGTCAAACCCTGAGATCACCGTCACGCCCCCTGAGATGGACCCTCCCTCTGAACCGGCTCCAGCCTCTGAGGACCAGCCGGTTGAGGAGGAGTGTGTGGAGGAAGACTGCGGCAGTGTCAGCGATCCAGACCTGGAGTGGGACCAGGCTGAGGCCCAGGGGCATGGCACAGGCTCGGCGGCCCACTCGCTGTGCTCCGAGAGTCAGCTGTATGCGGTGGGACCCGAGGATGTGGTGTTCTTGGAGCCCAACATGCCTGATGAAGCCCTGGAGCTGAAGCCGGTGGAGCTGGATGGGGAGGAAGGTAGTCTGACCAGGCAACTGGTGAGGAGGCTCACCTCCTCTGACATGCTGCCCGAGGCCAGCACTGTGAGCTGGTCTGGAGAGAGCAGCAGGACCTTCCAGGAGAGCAGCCTGGAGGAGGCCATTCAGTCCCTGCTCCTGCGGCTGGAGAGCTTAGGCCAGCGCTGCGGGGAGCTGCAGGACTTGGAGCAGGAGGTCATGAGACTCGAAGACATGCTTAAGGTGAATGAGTTTTCTGTGGTCTTTAATTAGAAGAGTTACTGTTGAAATTTTGATGCAGACCTGAGTTTGTTTGATCATGAAGCTTGGTTCATTTGATTAGCATGAACTTAGGTATCAAAGATCCATGGTTAGCAAGAAAAGGGCGGTCTAGCGTTCAGATAATGCACAGTTTTGTAAGACTTGAGGGTGGATTTGGTCTTGAGTCCACATCTAAGACTATATTTTAGTGGTATTGGTCTTGTCATGGATTCAGGACCATTTGGACTCTTGGTCTTGAGACCAAGGCTGCATCCAAAATTGAATACTTCCTTACTATATAGTATGTGGACAGAGTAGTATGTCCAAATTCACAGTATTCATAAAACAGTATGCCAAAAGTCCCCGAATGAGGAATGACCTACTATTTTCTGGTTCTGAAGTGTGCATCTGATGTCTGAAGTGTGCATCTGACACTTTACTATCCAATGAGGTCACAGGAGAGTAGTTGTGAATGGCAGTGAAGCAACGCAACTGACGCTGGTAGGTCGCATGACAATAGCAACATGACAAATGTAGTAGGGATGCCACGATACCAAAAATCTAGTAGTCGGTACCGATACCACTAAAAATACATGGTACTCGATACCAAGTCGATACCACGGGAAAAAAATAACAATAATACTTAAACATTAACATTGTCTCCTGTCAGACAGTCAGTAACTTTATGTGTGTGCGTGATCATGTGCAGCATGAAAATAACATGGTATTTTTGGGTTATGGAAACAACAGTTACCATGGTGAATATTCAATACTAACATGAACAGTTAATGAAACGTGGAAACTGCTCCTGAACAGAATGAATATCATGCCTTCATGCAAATCCTTCCCAGCTAACACGTGCAGTACCAGTTATGTGATTTAGCGGTACTGTACTTTTATTTCACGCGTCGCATACTCATAGTTTCTGCGCTTTATTTAGTGAAGTGATATACAGCGCAGCGCCGCATTCGCGCGTTCTATTGAAGAGTGCGCGCTACAAACACGGTATAACATCTGGCAGGGCAGGATAGTTTGCTTTTCTGAGGTGAGAGACTTCTTTCGTAACAAGTAATGCCGAGTTCACACTGCACGATATTAGCCCGATTTTTCACTCGCCGACAAGTTTTGCGAAATCAATAAAGGCCTCCTGAAGTGAAGCGATGCATTTGTGTAAGAAAAATATCCATATTTACTACTTTATAAACTGTAATCTCTAGCTTCCGCTGTCATACACACGTTCATAAGAGAGTGGCGTTCCAGCGGATGACGGAGTATTTAGGCGTAGCGTAAGCTCTGGTGAGAATATGCTAGTCTCGTGAGAACCAAGTTTTGTTTACAACAGGGAAGCCAGTCTCCTCTTGGCTTATTGAAAGTGTTTTTTAACTTTGAGCATCACGTTTTTAGAGTGTCCTGTCATGCGCAAGAAGACTCTGTAGAAAAGAATTGAAAAGCAGCGAATTGGAATGCAAGAACTTGTTGTGTGTGAACAAGCCCCTTGTCTCAGATGATCTCAGTCTTGAATGAAGGTTGTTGTTTCTCCTCAGTGTCGGGTACCTGCTCATAGGAGCCGTTCATCCAGCCTCAGTTTGACAGTGGAGAGCGCTCTGGAAAGTTTCGACTTCCTCAACACCTCTGACTTTGATGACGATGACACAGGAGATGATGCTGCCACCCTCTCACGCGCTGTCTTCTTTGACATGGAGTCAGAGAGAATTGGGTGAGTTGGACATTAAACCCTTTGGTGGTCAGGTTTCTCTGAGGAACTCAACTTCATGGCCTCGGTAGTTGTGATTGTGTAGCGCCCTCTGGTGGTGACAGTATGTCTTGCATGTTCAACAGGTCAGGCCAACATCCAGAAGTAAGAGGCCACCTGAGTGAAGCCCTCACAGAGGACACTGGTGTGGGGAACAGTGTGGCCGGCAGCCCGTTGCCTCTCACCACAGGAAACGAGAGCCTAGACGTGGCCATTGTTGTTCATCTACAATACTGCAGTCATCTCATTAAGGTGATTCTGTTTTTCCACCTTTACAACTTAATTTTCTCCTTCTCAGATAACAAAATATTGTGATTTTTCTTTGTCTTTTACACCGAACATGGTCAGTAGACAGCACATTTACAGCATAAACAGATTGAACGGTGTCATTGTGTTTTTTAATATAAAATGCTGAAGTTTCTCTATGTATGGGATGCAGTTGTTGACCTCAGGAGGAAGCCGGTCGCAGCACAAGACATACCTGCACAAACTAACAACTCAAACACTTCTGTTGGAGGATCTCAGTGAGAAAATCTTTGACAGACCGGGCAGCTGTATTTTAGTGTCTGATGGTGAGTATATCTTAAAGGGGTCATATAATGCGATTTAAATTTTTCCTTTCTCTTTGGAGTGTTACAAGCTCTTGGAGGAAACATCAGTGAATGTGACATCAGAGTTCATCTGCCTGTGTTTGCATGTGTATCCAGTGATCAGGATGGTGGTGAATGAGATGATGGACAGGAGCGAGCTGGCCTCTTCCTTGTGTCCATCGCTGTCCCCTCTGGCACAGGATATCCTCACTGTGTTTCAGTTTCACAAGGTCTTCAAGGCTGCATTTATTTGATCAATACAGTAAAAACAGTATTGTGAAAAATGTTTACAATTTAAAATAACTGTTTTCTAGTTGAATATATTTTGAAATGTAATTTATTCCTGTGATGCAAAGTTGAGTTTTCAGCAGTCATTACTCCAGTCTTCAGTGTCACATGATCCTTCAGAAATCATTCTAATATGCTGATTTGTTGCTCAAGAAACATTTCTTTTTATATATATATCGTTTTTTTAAAATCAGGATGAATGGAAAATTCTGAAGAACTGTCTTTTTATCAATTTAATGCATCCTTGCTTAATAAAAAAAACACAAAAAAAAACAACGATAAAAGCATAAAAACTGATGCAAACAATCTTAGATGCATATCTCATGATTGCATAATCAGGTACAAATAAAATAACAAATAATATAAATGAGGAAATAGAAAAATAAGAATAAAAAGAAACCATAAATATATGATTAAATATTGAAAAATTAAATGTGCAAATTTGAATAATCATAGTAGCAGCAGTACAGCTGTTTGAGGACACCAGGAGGTGATGAAGTTAATCTTGTCTGTGTGTTTGTCTTCAACAGGCTGTTGATTGTTACACACAAGCCTTATCAGAAGTAGACAGATCAAGAGATGCATGTGCCGCTTTGAGCTGCCTGCAGGTCAGTTCGCCTCTTTGATTGGATCACATTGAAGACTAAACTGAAGATTAAATCATATCTGTGATTGTTTACCAGATTTTCATTAAGCCTCTCTGTCTGTCGGGGGTTATTTTCAGGCTGTGGAGAGCATTGATGCTGTGGTGTTACTGTGTGACTCAGCAGATGAAGATCTCTGCCAGATTGCCATAGAAACCCTCCTCACTTTCGGTAAAACATCTAGTCACATGAATGCCTCATCCTCTGCACTATTAGTCAGTTCAGTCAGTTTATGCTCTGTCTGCAAATTAGTGTAAATCTGACTGAGACCCCATTCTAGACAGCATTTTATTAGACAAACATGTGTATACTATGAAGTCATCAATATTTTTGGTATGTTGTCCCAGAAGAGAAAGACTGTATGATTAACTTTTAGAAGTATGCTTGCACCAGGGTCCCTACGGTTTCTTAACAAGTCTCAAGGGGATAGTTTTCCCAAAAATGAAAATTACCTCATGATTTACTGACCTTTAAGCCGCTCTAGGTGTGTATGACTTTCTTCTTTCAGACGAATACAATTGGAGTTATATTAAAAATGTGCTGGCTCTTCCAGGCTTATAATGGCAGTAAATGGGGTTTAAGTTTTTAAAGTCCAATAAAGTGCATAAATCCATCATTAAAAGTACTCCGCATGGCTCTGGGGAGGTGAATAAAGGCTTACTGAAGTGAATCAGTGTGTTTTTGTAAGAAAATCTACATATTTAAAACTTTATAAATCTCTAGTTTCTACTCACACGTTCATAAGAGAGTGGCGTTCCAGCGGATGACGGAGGACGTAGACGTAGCGTAAGATCCGGTGAGAATATGCTAGTCTCGTGAGAACCAAGTTTTGGTTACAGCAAAGGAAAACCAGTCTCTTCTTGGCTTATATCGAAATCCCCTGACATTTTTCTTTACAAATCCGGTAACACTTTATTTTAAGGTGTCCTTGTTACACGTTACATGTACTTACTATTATAATAACAATAATTAATGCATAATTACATGCAAGTAACCCTAATCCTAACTCTAACCATATAGTAAGTACATGTAGTTAATTAATATTACACAGTACTTAAATGTATAAGTATAAGTTTTTTTTTTTGGGTGAACTATCCCTTTAAAAGGTCTTACATTATGTTTATCAAACGCAAGGTCCTAACAATGAATAAATATATTAACAAAAGTTGTACCTAACATTTTAAAAGATTTCAAATTTGTGGACGGAAAAACAGGAATCACAATTATGACAATGTACAGTATATTGATTTATGACAATGTTTACTTTTTTGGTGTTTATATTGTAATATGTTGTAGACAGATGTAAGAGTGCTTATTTTATCTCCATCTTTTTGAACGAGTAGCTGGGAATAGGAAAGCAAAGACATTTCAAAATAAGAGTCCTATTAGTCCAAACTATTTCAGACTTGTTTATAATTAAAAAGGAAGGAAAGACTAAGAGCATAATTTAACACGTACAGTACATACATTTCATTAATATTGGCACAATCTGTTAATTGCTTTTATTTAAACACACTATTATTGTATCAGCAAACTTCTATCACCAGTGTTGAAAACAGTTGTGCTGCTTAATAATTTGTGGAAACCATGATACACAATTTTTTTTTTCAGGATTCCTTTTTTTAGATCACTTTTGATCAATTTAATGCGTACTTGCTGAATAATTTCGTAAAGAATTCTTACTGACCCCAAACTTAACTAACTAAAGTAAATGACAATTAAATTTCAATATAAATTTTATTTGTGCAGGCCTTAAACATGTACATGTAAATCATACATGGTCTCAATGCTTGTAAACATCACCTGAAAGCCTTCCTGTTTCTTACAGAGCATGTCTGTGTGTTTCTGTTCTCAGGTGAAGACGGGCGGCTGGCATACGAGCAGTTGGACACAGTGCCGAGGGAAATGGTGCGGCTGGGGACTCGCCGCGGTAACGCTGTTACCACTTCATTTTAGAAAAACGACTCGTTATCCCTCCTGTGACCCTGCACACTTCAGACGTGAAATACACACCACCTGCTAACAAGGGGAAAGTGAAGCTTGGCCTTCGATTTAGGCCCATATCTTGAGACCTTCATCACAGACTCTCCTTTTCTGCAGGATGTTTGCTTCTCGTGTCACAGTGGTCCTGAGTCATTGTTGCTGATTGAACAATAAGAGTGTTATTATTGGAAGTTAGTTATTTGCAGATTGCAGTTGCACTGTTGGAGGTGTGTAAATAGAAAGCAAATCCTATTTTAATTTTGTCCTGGGATTTTTTGTTTTCCTCTTGTTCCGTTTCAGGGATTATAAGGGACTGTTTTAATGCTCCCCGCTTGAGTTTTTTTTGACCTGGACAGACTGGGAAAGGAAAGATTTTGTGTGCTGTTTAGACCCAGCCGGTTGTATGGACTACTGAAAAAACCGGTGTGAACGGTGGACTGCTGATTTACACATCGCTTGCTTGCCTTCACTGGTCAGAAGAAAATATTTCTATGGACGGGGCCTGTAGTGAACACTTGCATTAACACGGTACTAATGCCTGAGCGCATGGGATCTTACAACAAGCGCTGTTTGGAGCCCGTCAAGAGTATATGAAAATGCACTTTTACACTATATTCAGTCAGAGAAGCATGATGCATTACTGTGAGTTTTTGGTTTGTATGTAAATGAAGACTGGAAGTATATTTTGCTCTGTGATCCGAACTCGCTTCTGTGCCTATTGTTACTGTACTACTGCGTCATGTGACTGTAATATCATTTGTTTTATTTATTTTTGAACAGATTGTTTTAACGATGTACTAAACATCAGTTCACAATATGATTAGGTACAGTCAGGATTTGGTATTATTGAGGGGCTATTCACTATGATTTTTTTATATATATATATATATATATATATAGTTGGCATTTTACATATAGAAAGATGTTTTATTGATCAGTATCATCTTTTAACAGTGTATTCATGGAGTTATACAGTATTTGTGCTCAAGGGAACCTTTCCTAAACGTCTTTTTGGTATGCTAATACACCTGACCTGAGAAAACGCTCTTTGGTAACCGATCGCTTGCCTCGCTTTGACACGTTTACACACCCTGTGTTGATCTTTAAAGCTCTCAAATGTGAATTTACGCTTATGGCGGCAATTAAAACGCAGTTTTGTAGATCACCCGACCTATTTTTGCAATATTTTCTATGACATTGAGAATTGTACGGAAGCAGGGGCTTAAATCTATCAAAGGAGCACATTTCGAGGAATGTACTGAGTACAGAAAGGTTACTGAAGTATATGCCTCACAAGCACAACTGTTTGGTGGTTGTTTTGGCGTTACTGTTAACATGTTATTTGGCATTTACCGCACAAACTCCTAAAGCCATAATGATACAGAAGTCAATATATTTAAGGCCGTTTTGTGGTTTCTATTTATCAGAATTATCTATAACAGATATTCAAAAATAATACTTTTGTTTATGCTGTTTTTCTGTATTCAGTCACAGAAATGAATGGCTGTTTTCTTTCTTTGTGAGTTTGTCTAATGACCACCGTTACAGTATTTGACCCTGGGCATTGGTGATCACTCCTTGAGAATTTCTTTCTTTGCACAGAGATATCAAGTAAGAAGGTTGAATTAACATGTATTGCCTTGTATTCATCTCAGACTGAAGCTCAGTGAAATTCAAATGCATTTATTGTTCAAACCTCATTCAAATGTAAATTAATGTCCTTCTTGATAGGAAAGCTGTTGTTATGGTTTTGTGAGCGTGTGACTGTGTGTGTCCAGGGCTTGAGCGCACAGCTTGCAATAGCTTTAGCTACTACTGTTTGAATGAAAGCAGATCTCACTTGATGTCACAATGCTAATGTTCCCTCACGGTTTCATTTTTTTTTTTTTTTCATTTTTGAGTTTACTGTATTTCCTCTGCTGAAAGTGGCAATAAAATTTATTTTTACATAATTATCAGATATGGCATTGTGCTGTTTTTAATGCCTGTAGTGCATGGTAAATTTAAAAAATGTTTTACTATATGTACACTATGAGAGGATCAAGAACTGCACAGACATTAGAACAGCTGCTGTTCATTACTGTATAACAAAATAACACAAGTTCAGCAGTTTCATGATCCAGTCCATGGCAAAGCATGCTGGGAACTAGAAATTCAGTCCAGTTTCAGGTAATAATGGCAACAAAAATGATTCATGTTGTCCGTAACGAAATTACATAATGACAAAATGTTCATTAAATGAACCGAGCGTTAACATTTAACATTTTTCTGAAGCAAATGGACATTTAAAAAAAAGGTGTTTTTGTAAGTGTAAAACGCATTTTATGAAGGCTTTTGTGAAAACGTCCTAAATGGATGACGTCACGATAACGAGCTGCATGAAATTAAAACAACGTTCGGTTTTGAAAAAAAGCTTTTTGAAAAGTGTTTCAAGACAGGCAGACGCATGATTCGGTTTCTCTCCTCATTGTACGATAATTACATCAAGCCTTATTTTTCCTCCGGTCTGGAAGAAGCAGACAGAAGCCACAAAAATAAGATCCTCAAGGCTGGTCGACTGATCCGGAATACGCTGCTGCCCATAGCAGTGAGAGCAGACGCAGCTCGCGACATCGGGATATTAAGTTACACAGGTGATGAAAAAACGTGTCTATATTACAGGCGGACGCCTTTTTATCGTGAAATGAAGTGATATTTTGAAATATGAAACTGAAATCGCCAGCAGGTGGTCTTAATGAGGGAGGCAGTGAATCATTAGGAAACAATGCGTTCAAAACAAAGCAAGTGATTAGCTGCGTATCGAGTAACGTTACTGTCTAGCGGTAGTTACCAACGGCTGTGGTATGTAACGTTACTACATTTGTGACCCTGGACCACAAAACCAGTCATAAGTAGCAGGGGTATACATATACAACATTGTATTGGTCAAAATTATCGATTTTTCTTTTATACCAAAAATCATTAGGATATTAAGTAAAGATCATGTTCCATGAAGAGGTTTAAGAATTTTTAGATTTTTGTAAGGTTACTTGAAATAAGGTAAAAAAAAAAGCATTTTTGCAGCATTAATGAATGAGGTATTTAAACAATCGCTTACGCTTTAAAAAGGGGGAGGAGACCCAAAGAAACTGGTTTTACCAAAGAGAACCTGCTCCCGAGCAGGTTAGGTTCACAGATTTAGTTTGGTCTTTTATTGGAACCGAAAACCCTGCGTTTCCCTTTTCTGGGGTTAACAAACTCTTGAGTTAACAAAACCGCTTTCTGAAGTACACCCCTGGTCTACTGACGTCTGCCTCGAACATTACAATGCTCATGATTACTTTCGTAAACACTACAATAGGCAAAACCACTTCGCCAGCTCATTACGCTATTAGATTTAGTAATGAAACAACACATCTATGCTCACAAGCACAACAGTTCTGCTATGGCCTTGTTTGGAAGCATTATCTTTGATGGAAGAGAGCAAAAACAGTCCATATGTCAAGTGAAACACAGCAAGGACTTCTACGGTTACAAACCCTACTAATTATTTAAACTCTTTTAGGAGGTTATGAACATGCAGCTCAAGCAGCAGACACGTACATGGCAAGCATGGTGGAGCTCCTGAAAACACCTGACCTTACGGATCAGCACATCATTCAACTTCTTGAAGGCCTCAGTGCAATCTGCTACCTCCACGTCGCCAACCAAGACAAGGCACAAGCACTTAGGCTCCCTGACACCCTGCTGGAGTTTGTATCTCCAACCAGCAAACTCTCCTTTACATCACAGCGCTGGAGCTGCTACCTGCTCAACATCCTCTGTTGCCACAACATCCCGATCATCTGCCACCTCAAGGACTCGGAGGCCCTGCAGTCGAGTCTGGAGAAACTGGCAAGTCTGGACTGGGAGAAATGGCCATTAAACTACGCTCAGGAGCTTCTCCAGGTTTTAGGATTCCAGCAGAACTCGATGAAAGATGCTTTGCATGAGGAAGATGAGCTGAAGGGCTGCACTTACACCAAAAGTGGTCACATGTTAGGTAAACCATTAAAAAGCATGTGTACAAAATATGAGTTTATTTCCATTGTATGCATTCAATTTTACATTTGTACACTGGCAGTGAACATGCACATTAACTACATGTACTGAAAATGAAAGCTCATTTACAGCAAGGGTAAAAGTATTAAAACAAAAAGGTGCATCTGTTCTCAAAGGCAAAGAAACTTTAAGAAAAAAAAAAAAAAAGTCCATAATAGTTCATTATTTTCCAGGTGGCATAATTTCAGCTTTCTTCTGTTGTGGTTTTATCCTTGTGGCACGTTATGGTCATGTGACTGTTCTGTGCTCAGTTCAACACGGTCCTGGCTCTCATCAGCTTCACTCCCATCTCCATGTTGTTCCTCCGGATATTCTTCCTGTTGTTCTTCCTCGTCTTCAGAATCAAAGGCTATTTCACGCAGCTCCTCTAGACTGTCTGGACTCTTGCCGGTTAATCTCTGAGAAATAAAAGAGACATTAGTTAGAGACAGAACTCGGGACATTGAGGTGGGTAACTTCAATCTCTAGTCACACCCTAATGGTAGTCACACACACACACAATCACCACTGTCCACTTGTGACACAAATACGGTTTCCCGGTCAAAGCAAGAATAATCATCTTGACTGACCACAGCAGTATTGTTGGCTGTGTAAACTACAAAAACCATGAACTTCTGAAAATGAAATCATTAGCATTACATGATCAGTCTTATAGGTATGTGCGCAGATGCTTGGGGTTTTCTTTGCAAAGTTGTCACCAACTATTGGCCTGGCATGCATAATACAACATTTTTAGTGGTTTCCGGAAACCTGTGTGAATAATTAACAATAGCTGCGTTTCCATTACAGATAGCACAATTTTTCCGATATTTTATAAATGTCCATTTAAATAAATAAAAAAAATAACACTATTGGGGGGAACACTATTGCGCAATGGCATTTCCATTAATGGATGTAATGCGACTAACACACAATTTTTTTCCTTTCGCAAGTTATGGCGATGGATGTTGGTAGGCTTACATAAATTGCAGCCACGGCACTAGCCATTATTTTAAAATTGGAGACACGCACACACGTGTATCTTTGCCGCAGCTGGTATAAACGCAGGCATAGAGCGGCCGTGATCAGCTGTTGGAGCCGCAATGCGCCATAGACATGTGCAGTGTAAATAAGGTTATCCAAGCACTAATGGCAAGGAAAGCCCCTTATACTTGAGCTGCAATGCAGGAGGTATTTCTTGGAGGTTATAGTACATTAGAGAATCATCATGTGACTTGCGTACACCAGGTGACCTGTAACGCAAACAAATGGTTTCCATTGCAGTTTGAGACTGCTTTTTTCCCCAAATTGCCTGAAAACCCACCTCATACGGGTGTATAAAATTTTTGCCATTTATGGGAGGAGTTTACAAAACTGAAGGGGTTTCCATTGGGCGCATTTCCAATTCACAATTTCAGGTTGCAGTTGGAAGGGAAATGGAAACACCGCTATTGTCGGTAGACAATTAAAAAAATAAAAATTAATAAAAATTCAGTTTTAGTACGCTTCCGTTTAGCACATAAACGTACCCTGAGATTCGGTATGGAGATGAAGATAAGAATAATGATCGTTCAGTAGTACTACAGCACCACAATGTAGATTAGCAGTCGGTTTTCTTTAGGCATCATATAAAGCATTTGGATCTAGAAACAGCGATGTCAGGCTTCAAGTGGATTAAAAGCTATACTGTACACAAAGCACTTACTTCTATCATATCAGCCATGTGTTGTACATGCTGTGCCAGCTCCTGTAACTCCTCATTTTCACTCTTCAGCTGAGCAATCAGTTCATCTTTGGCGTCAATGTCTTTGTGCAACTAATTTTGAAATTAAGTTAAGAAACAAAAAGGCACCACATTTCTAATCAAATGTTTAAAAGAACTGTTTTTACGACATTAAGAACCATAATTATAGAAATAAGCCTTTTATAAGCAGAAAAAAAACAAAACAAAGACTAACTTTACTATAGAACAACTTACTCATCAGCCCTATAGAGAGAAGTAAAGAATGGCTAATCATTAGCAAATTACCCATTGATTAACCTACCTTTTCATTCTCTTGGAGAACACTGAACAGGGCTTTCCGCCTCTCTTCTGCTACCTCCTTCCAGTAGGAGGACCCAGGAGTTTCTG